AAAGGTCCTCTTACCTTAGGCAGTTCCCATTCAGACCTGGATCCATCAGCACTGTAGTAATAGGGCCGACCTTGTTCATCCACGTGCTTTATCCACTGCAAACACAAACACTGGTCAGCATCAAAGAGGAAAATAAAATACACATATTTGTGCCATGACTAAGGGTGACCGCAGAATAACATGCTGAGACTGAGTTAAATTATCTATAAATAAACCCAGATCCCACCTTCTCCTGCGTGTATTCGGACACGTAGAGGGTGTGTCCGTGTTCATCCAGTTCCTCGGACCAGCCTCTTGGGGGCGATCCGTACTGGCTGTCGGACTGGCTAGAGTGGGTGCTGTGGCAGTTCTCCTCCGAGGACAGCGGCTGAGGGGAAGGAGGCTGAATGAGGTGGAGGGTTTCATGACACAAGTTTTAAGAGAAGCATCAGCAGAATAAACACAACAAAGTATAGGGGACAACATTACAATCAAAATAGAAAAAAATGTGTTTGTTCTGGTGCTCAGTAGAGAATCTGTGGTATTTTTTAATCTCCTGTAGGGCAACTCAGGATACCAGAGTAACTTCCACTTCGTTTATTAGAGTGCTTCCATAGTAGGGTTCTCGGTGCAACATAATGGAAAGCTGCACGTTGGAGCAATTCAGCCATTCTTGTTTGAACCAGAACCTAGATCTGAAGACTCATAATGATACAGAAATTAGACTGCAGTACACAGAAGCACCACATGGAGGCAGCGTTGGACAGCTGGTAAGGAAACAGCAGCCTGACAGGAAACCAGGATTTCCTCTCATCAAAGGCGCTCTTGTTACTCTACCTTCAGCAACCACAACAGCATTCTAAAAGGCTTTTGAGGTTCACCACACCTTCGCCACAGTCTGTTTGTTTAACACAAACTGCCAGAGAGTCCATTTACAGACTGTTTAGGTCCTCTAGAACCGTGGCTTCAGCTCAGATTTTCGCTCATACAAGGGGAGCACCTGATTCCTGTGTTTCGGCATGTGATCAGAACGATTGCTTTCTTCTGACCAGACAGGAGAGGGAAGTGGTGATGGTGTTTGTGTACGCTTTATCCAAGTTTCCGAGCCAATGTGAGGCATATAATCAGAAATCTGATGTTTAGGACAAGACCATCTCCAGAAATGGATGATTTTTAGCATCACTTCAGTCTCTGGTGCAACACTACTCTACACACTCTCACCTCACTCTCTGCTGTGCCGTGGCTGTCTGCTCGGAAGCTGCTGGTGCTGCTGCTGGTGTCCCTGGTGCGCGGCGGCTTCCAGGTCCGCTCGCCCGTGGCTCGGTTGTAGTAGAAATGCCTGCCGCTCAGATCTTTGTGGGTCTCCCAGTCGCCCAGGATGTGGAGCGGGGAGCCCGAGGGGACGGGTGGCAGGCTGGACTGAGAGATCTTCAGCTCCTGGAGGTTTGTGTAGACCGGCGAGTCGGACCGGCCCTGACCTGTAGGTGACGTAGTCTGAAGGGAGAAGAGAGGAAAGGAGGTTAGATCAGCAACTCAGATGTATCATTCGTTCAAGATTTAATGGAAGATCTGCATGTTCTACTTTTTCCTATTTTCTAGCTGACATTCCCTGACTTCTCCAGGGACTTCATGAGTATTCTGACTTTCTTCTGAAAATCCTGTGATATTCCAGGAATTCCATAACCAGAAGGAACCACGAGAACACTTCAGTGTCTGCTGAGATCTGCTGGAATGTTCAGTCCGGGACAAAAACCAGCAGCTATCACATCCTGGGCTCGACTGTGGAATGTGATCAGTTGAGCTGTTTGTTGCAGCAAACGTAGAATTAAAAACATGCATACTGTATTTAGCGGCAAAGCCTAAAAACTGCAGCACAACAAACCAGCTCCTCTATATCAAAGAATGAAAGTGAGGTGTGGAGAACGCAGAGGAAGCCAGCGAGTGTCTCTGACAGTCTGCATGGCAGGATGCAGCTGCTGATCAAATCAAGTGCCACATGTGGCCTGCAGATACTTTAAAACATATCGGTGCGATTTTAACCGGGTGCTTCAACCACATGGACTCAACAAAGTTATGCAATCGTTTATCTGTCAACTCAAAGAACACCAAAGAAACGCAATGAAGATAAAGTGCTACTGGTATTTAAATGCAAGCCATACGATAAAAGATAAAGATTAAAGTGTGTTTCAATGATTTGACTTCTTAAAGGAGGTTGGAACAGCAGAAATCTGAGTTTCTGAGGCTCTTCTTAGAGGCCTGAACCAGTTGTTTGGGAGCACATGTAGCTGAGGGCTAAAGTCACGGATGACTTCCTTTAAATCTTCCAAGATTTCACGTCGAGGATTAAAATGTATTCCAGGTTTTACTACTAAATTCCACAGCACACCTGTTAGGCATGGTAACATTGTTTTTAACTAATAGACAAGTAAATAATGCTTGTTAAATATGTCTGTTGCATCAGAGCCCTAACAGATAAATGAACCCGTCTCTTGTCAGTAAACAGAACTAGCGTCCTCTTAGCAACCATGCCGTTATAAATATTGCTCAAAGTTATGCAACAATGGATTGGTTAAATAAAAGCGATGGGGAAGCCAGCAAAGATACGCGTGTTGCACAGCAAAGACCAGAGGAAGTAGAAGAAGAGATAAGATAGAACCTGGCTTCTGTGCAAAACACTGGTGTAATTTGTTAATTAGGTTGATGAGAGGAAAAAACTTGGAAGACAATTAATTAATGCAAATGTTTTGCATTGAGAGCATTATTCCATTTTATTTGTGAATATCCATCCATTAGCTGTAACAGGTAAACTATGGGCAGGTCACCCTTCATCACAAAGCTAGAACAAGGAGACATTCACACCAATTACTTCCCATGCATGTCTTTGAAACTAGAGAACCCACAATAAGAACATGCAAACTCCACACAGAAAAGCTGCAGCCTTCAAACCCGGGACCTTCTGGCTGTGAGCTAACAGTAGTAACCACTGCTCCATTATGCCACCCAGTTTGTGAATACACTTGACAGATATTTGAGATTCAATTTTCTTTTCTGAGTAACCACTAACCACGAAAAAAAACACTACATGGCCCCACAGTGTCAGTGCAAACACTCATCAAAGACAGTTTTTAGGTGGTCTTTTAAAACTTGGCAGCATCCGAAGGTCACTCCACAAAAGGCAGAAAGCTACGTTTCCATGGCTACAGCTCAGAACATTTAACGTTCTGCATTCCCTGAAAAATATTTGGGGGTTTTGGAGCTGAGTCTTACAGACTAACGCCAGCCTCGTGTCTCTCTCCAGTGAAGACCCAGCACCACACGTACAGAAACGAATCAGATATCAGAGGCCGAGCCAGCGCCGCACCCCGCCCCTGTTTGTTACAGGTGAGGAATGTGGGGGCAACACACTTCAGTTAGGAGGATTTGAGCCGCTTTCAGGACACAGATGGGACTTCCTGCCGGTCTTGGAATAACAGGAATATTTTTCACATAAATTATTATTTAATATCCTGCACACATGCTGCAGCAGAGCAAAGGTTTCGGCGGCGTCCTGCTGTTTTCAGTTAGGTTTGCCCGCTGCTTCTCGGTTTCAGTCCAACACACAAGCAAGTGGCCCGAGCAACGAGGCGAACCACAGAGATGATGGTTTGGCTGAACTCGGGTTCAGACTCATCCGTCACAACCAGATATGGAGCCAGAGTGCTGCAGCTTTAATTGGGTTTTTAGGGAATAATGTGCTAATGATCAAGTCTAAATGCAAATGATTGAGTGTGGCTCGAAAGCAAGGCTGGGGTCGAATCTATTTAGATTCCACTCAGCCCAGACAAACCCGACTGTATCCGGTGGAGGAGTAATTAACATGCTTCAACGTCCATTCTGACAGAAGTTAAACCAAAACATTTTTCAGCGGTTTCTGCTTTCAGAGAATAATTTAACAATCACTGTGGACAGAGAGGAGTGTGAAGCAACATGGGTCCACTGACGTGCACACCACACACGTCACAATCGTTTAATCTTGTATTATTCATGCTGCCTTCAGCTTCGGTTTAAAAGGCTATTTTGTGTTGCACCAACATGAAGCCACTGCATGATTTAAAAAGAATGATCAAAACTGAGGCAGCATGTTGTACTGTCAATAGATCATTTAGCTGTCAATCAACACATCCAAAGCTTTAATCAGCGCAAACCAGTGCAGCTTTTCATTCATGCTCACGTGGGTTGTTATCTGAGACAAAGCTGAGGAGGGCTCTCTGTAGCAGATGGACTGATCAGACGGTGCACAATATGCAGATTATTACCAGTGGAGGGTTCATAAATATCCAATCAGGTTACTGGTGAGCTGGCGTGCTCGAGCTGTGGAGCGGAGAAGTGGTGGTGGACAAAGAAGCAGCAATCCGCATGTTTTGTTTTTTTAAATCAAGCTTTAGTTTGACAGTCTGTCCAATAGAGTTGAAACATAAAGGAGGATTCTCATGAGACACCATCACAAATGCGACTGTCACACAAGCAGGACGACATGAATCTGTAAAACCACCGACAACAGTTTAAACTCCGGGTCAGACACGCTGCACAATGTACAAGGTGTAGCTGTTAAATAATGATGTGACGTTAAATCAGTCCAACCTCAGCTTGCAGCCTGAACAACCCTGAATGTTTGCTGCTCGAATTCCATAAAGTTCAGAGTTACGTCTAAGCCACGTTAAGCAGGAAGGGATTATCTTCACGGATGACACTTCTAACGTTGATACACAGAGACAGGTCTTTAATGAAAACCTTAAATTATCCAGTATTTTTGGTTTATGACAAAAACCTGCAAACACGATGACATTCCGATCGGTCACAGCTGCACTCAGTTCAGACATACAGCATGCTAACAACCGCTGCTACGCACTCATGTTGTAGCACTGAAATGAAACGAACCTGTGCAACAACCTTCACCAAGTCCATGAGCATTAATGAACCTAAACTCCTACAACCAAGTTAAAACCGACCGAGAACAATGACTCAGTCGGTATATCAATCAGGCTGCAACATTTCTATAAAAAGAAAGAAGAGATGACTAACCGAAACTTGAAACTAAACGAAATTTCAAAATAGAAGTGATGTCGAGAGACAATATTGGCTCTATTGTATTGAAACAGACTATTGTGTATCAGAGAATCGTGCACCATATGCTGAGACAGAAGTCTAACATTGCTGGAACAGCAGTAGACAGCAGAGACACTTTTACTAAATGTTTAATTGAAGTCAGCATAAAGTGTTTCCCTGGCACACGGCAGTCACGGAGTATCTGCTAATTTCAGACTGGCAAACTTTTGTTAGGACGTTATTAATGCTACCTGGAATCTAATTTAACAGTTTAAAGAGAACAAAGCTGATAGTGGCTGCCAGTGCTGATGGAAAGTCCTCCAACTAGAAATGGGCAGTCTGAGGAACAGGACAGAGAAATTAATTGTTCTAGAGGACATGAAATCCATCTGTACTGGCAAAGCAGACTCCCTGTTCTATATTAATCTAGTGGACACAGTGTAAAGAAACCTGACACGACCAAAGTATCACCGACGAGCAGAGTGCACATATTTTCACGTCCATCATGACTAATTTCTGTCACCTTGGATCCAGGGCTGCACACAAACACGTCGTCGTCATCCTCCCCGGCTCTCCTGTAACCTCTGAACACACTGAATGCACGACGCATGGCGATGCACGGCGGCCACCCAGTGTGACGGGACACACACTGTGGTTTCACCACCTCAAACACTTCTTTCTTTCTGTCCTCCTCGCTGTGTAACGTTCCGCTATAAGGCAGGAGGAAATCTGAGACCTGACTGACAGAAGGCAAAGGGGAACACGATCTTTCTACCCCACACATGCACACAGACAGACACACAGCAGAGTACACAAACTCATCTGACACAACAGGAAATGGTACTGCAAAAGTAGTGAGCTTCCCCTATCGCACTCTGTTTCTTTGTGTTTGAGTCAAAGTGGGTACTGACAGACGTATAGACGAGTCTGGACAGTTTCACCAAAGTCATGCTCTATATTTAACCCGACCAGAGCAGATGGGCTCAGTGTGTCGAGGAAAGATAAAACCACAGATCTCCACTACTCTGCAACTCTGCCCTGCACTCGTCTTTCACCTGAAGTGCAACACAAGACACTATGATAAAGAAGAGGAAGGAAGAGAAAGCAAGAGTGAGAAAAAAAAGAATCAGTTTAAGGCTACATCCAAGCAACACTAATACTATAATACAATCTCCATTCAGACAGGCGTTGTGGCAAGTTTCAGAAATAATCTCTGTGCATACTAGTACACACCTGAAAACACACATTCACTGGGCATGCATGCACGTGTTGGTGTAAAAAGGATTCAAAATTTAGTTTAGCCGCTGCTATAGCTCACCCTGTTGAGCTAGCGCCCCATGCAGGGGATAAAGTCCCCGATGCAGTGGCCATGAGTTTGAATCCCACTCATGATCCTTTGCTGCAAGTCC